TCTTAACTTCATTTATTCATTCTAATCTGCTTTCATACTAACACTAACCCTACAACGACTAGTCAAATGACGGGTTTTAAAATTTCATTTAAATTTCTACATTTTCTTTTATTTAACTTTATATGAATCTCTACATTGCTCGATAAATCAGTGTCTGAATTTTCGTTTTCCCTATTGCTTCTTTTTCCACCAAGAAAAATGTATCATCTAACTTGTTTATCTTTATTTTGCAATCAGTTATTTGTCTGGTTACTGCAGTGATAGGTACTGTCCACAGACGACGTTTGTTCACACGTTCAGCGAACTGAAGGGACAAGCGCGGCAAGGGAATATGGTTGCTCGCGACAAACGTTGACGTTTCGGTTTCGACCGTTTTTGTTATTGACTGATTCGCGCAAACGAAGATTGCAAGTGAAACAAAATATGGCAAAGTAAGATACAAATGAAGGCGATACTTCGAGGATCGAGACGCGGCACTTCAAAGCGATGCCGCACGCGTCAAATTAAACATGTAATAAAGGAAATGTCAATTTCATTAATTTCAATTTTACTTTTTCAAACATAATAGCAGTGGATTGTTGAGATTGCTGTGATGAAAATAAGTTCAAATACGATGTACATCGGACTACTTTTATCAATTTTAAGGAAATAAACCTTTAATTCTGTTAATTGCATTAAATGGGTAAAACTAGTCCTTGTTGCACTTGTTCCTTCAGTTCGTAGGACATGTGAATAAACGTCGTCTGGGGGCAGTATATATAAAGTGCCAGTTAAGTTCAGTGCTAAGTACTCAATGAAATAATTTTAGGAACACCAGTGAGAGGTCTGTCCCATTTCATTCGCATAAACGTCCCGGTATCGTGACAGAAATAGCCATTTAAGACTTTTCCCGCGGTTAGGTGGCAAAAGTTTAAAGCACCACAGTCAAAGCTCTTATCTTTCGCGCAATGTGCTTCTTTCAATTTATTCCTGCCTAACTTGCGACTGGAACTACTGTTACAGTACTGTTTCGTATTGCGCGGACACCTTGTACCCTGTATATTCACAGATAATTTTATTTCACTTTGTGCGCAGTTTGATAGTGGTACTTCATTTACTCGCGTGGTGCGCAACGACCATGCCGCGTCGCGACGAACATCTTCTTACAAACTTACGTATCCACTCGTATATAACTTTATAATTTCACTGTCTTGGATGACGATACGGCTCGAACCGTATACATAATGCTCGGTATTGTGTACAAGATCCCGCATACGTTTCGGCTAGATTGAAGTTGAAGCTTCTCTGTCTAACTGTAATTGAATTTCTGATGATAGGATCAGGGAACCAGTGCACGATGTTGTGCGTTCTTCTTCGGGTTCACATGAACACGCGTACATCGCAGTGATTAGCCAAGGGGCTGCACACACTTGGGATTCACGAGGGAAGGGACATCCTCCAGGAGTTGTTTTTGTATAATTAATTTCTCTAATGAAAACGTGTAATGTACGAAATGTGTAATTTTAAAAATAACTCACGATGTCTGTCATTTTATTTGGATAACAATTTAACGCTAAGCATACCGGCACTTTAATTACTGATTATATTTTTGTCAAAGGAATATAGGTAATTGTTGATTTAACACTAACACTATCAGACGGGTCAAAATGATGCATTCCTGGTTTCATCTTTTACAATTATTAAAAAAATGACAGATATTCCTGTGAGAAATTATTAAAGACTATGATTTAGCAATACGCAAACTGAATTGTAAAACAATTAAAGTCAGAATAGATGCGTTCTTGGAGTTGCTATAGAGAAATTTCAAAGAGTCAATTTAATTGCTCGGTAGTTTTAGTGTTAACCTGTAAGTATGGACGTGAATTTAACTTTTACGCATGGAAGTCTGAAAATGATCGATTAATATTAAATATTCTCGTTTGTAGCAAGTGATAAACAAGTTTATTGTATATATTTGTTTTTATTTACTTAAATACCTCTAGATAGAAATGGTATCAACTATATAACGAACATTTTATTGATTTCATAATTCACAGTATTTTATATAGAGGTCTGTTAGACAGTGTGTCCATACTTAAAGGTTAATATGGTAAACAAAGCACAAAATAAAAATTAAATAATAAGAAAAAAAGTACAAATTTTCGTCTTTCTTTAACGAGAACAGAATATGACAGATGAATTTTTTCAGTTGGAAACATCGGTCATTTAACAAAGCGCGGTACGTTTGTGGTACGTTAAAACTTAATGAATGTGACAAAGGATTTTACTTAAGATAAGAAAATATAAGGAATTCCTAATTGTCGATGAATAAAATTAGTCATTGATATAGCTGATCTTTTAACATTTTTATTTAGAACTTTTGTGTAGAAGAATTATTAAACTTTTGAGTGAAAATATAATTCTTTTATATTACTTTTTATATTTTTGGTAATTAAAAAAAACATTATGTGGCATATCGATAAATTTTACGACAAGGAATAAACAATGATATGACATGAAAAATTTTGTTTTCATATTTAAATAGAATTACCAATTTTCAGATCATAATTTATCTTCTTTCGGCGTCTTAACTTCCATGAATTATTGGTTCATTGTTTTTCTATCTTGTTTAATTTTAGTTTGTACGCTTGCATTCGTGTTTCTGCGTAGTCAGCACAATTGTGCACCTCTCGTTTTCTGACAATCCCCATGGATCAGTATTCAGGTCAGTCGAAGTCTCTATAACTTGCAGTATTTCTAGAATTGATAGTATGCTTCCATTGCAATGGTAATTACATTAGTAATTTCATAATACAATATATTTATAAATATATTTATCAAAAATACAAATTTATGATTTCATTGATATTTATTGTTCTAAGAGAGTTTCGCTAGATTATGGTATGAAAACATTTATTATTATTTTGTGTGTATTCTTTTGTGCAACATCTCAATGTAATCCCCTGCAGACAATGCATTACAATTTTATATGTAGTTACCTAAAGTATTGTTTGCCTTGGGAAGATTAGTCGTAGTCGGTTATAACTTGACCATTATTAGAAAAATTCAAATTAAACTTCCAGAGAAGACAGTTACAATGTAAATAAATTTTTCATATAAGATTTCCAAATCTAAATTCCTGATCTTAAATAGAATATTCATGTAATATTATCGAATCTCATCATTTCTATTTCATGATATTCATAAAATTTTTAATATTTTCTAAGAATTTCATAAAATTCTTAGATATGGTAGATTTAAGCAGTTTTGACGAATATAATATTGGCAGCATTACAAGAATACATAATAACTTTTTTTAACAAATCAGTCTGATCCATCACCTATCAAATTAAAAAAAAACGTTATTTTCAAATTTACAAACGGAAAGCACCCCTAAAGGTAATATAAGATTTTTTCACAGGATGTAAGTGTTTCGGTGGAGATGTAATAAGTCAGAGTGAATGTAGATGGGTGCTTGGAAAACTTTGAGCGTGAATTAAGAGTATTTAAGACTGAGTGGACGGTTCTGTATGCATGCACCTGTGTGCATTGCCAAGGGTTTGCGTGAGATTTTGATGGTCGAGGAATGTGTGCGCATGCGCGCGCGTGTGTATGTGTGTGAATAGCTAACAAAATTGGAAGAGGACATAATATGAGAGTTAATGATGAATACTTTATCATTAATAATTTATTAGGGAAAGATCAAATTTCGATACTTATTCTATGTCTACGTTTGCACAGAAGGTTAACGATTGATAATAGATAAGTAATATTTAATTTATATTTAAAAAGAACTAAATAACATTTAGATTTGTCAAAATCATTGACACGATATTGTAGATCAAGGGGTTAAGGAATATTCTTACTATTAGACTGCGGATTTTTATGCAATTAAGGGACATCTGAGACTGCAGAAACTTGCACAAAATGCAATGTATTCATACAATGCAAGAAGTATGTAGAAAATATTCATAGCGTACTGCTTTTTAGAACATTTCTTATGAAAAACTATTTTCTCTAAGTTTAAAAATTCGAATTTGTACAAAGGTCCGCGGTTCACTTATTATATTTTCTATTTTACTCTCCTAACACTTCAGCTGCCATGTCATCCGAATTCAGGTAACATCACTTTCTACATAAACTTAAAAATTAATTTTCTCGGTGACATATCGAACGAACCGAATTCTATTGGACATATGAGGTATAAGAATATCAGCAAAGCAATCGGTATGAAAAATCCAGATTTTTTAGTTTCCACTTGAGTAAGAAAACTAACACGTTAACATGTTAAGCGCCATGTCAATCACCAATGACTGACGCTTCTGAATTACCTGAAAACAATCGTAACATGCTAGATAACCGATGTCGTATGGAAATGTTTAATAACGTGACTAAGCTGATAATAGTGAAATGCAAGTATTGTAATGCCAAATAATTAATAATTGTTCCTGTTTTTCTTTGCTACAAAAGCTCGTATGTCATACTGGAGATGGCAATACAAATTTGTTATAGAACGTTGAAAGTTATCTTAAAAAGTACCACGCTCTAAAAGATTGTAAACATTAAATCTTATAATAATAATAAATAAATAAAATAAATATAAAACGTTGAATTCTACTATTGTAAATTAGTTTAATTTATTTTCCTAGAAATAAATACAGGTTTATACCCAACAAACGTTGAAAATAAATCGAGTGCAAAGGGTTAATACGGTTAGTGTTAAACCTGTGAGTCTTGTCACCCCATTACCCTTTACTTATGCGCCGCGTGGGATTTCCCTGAGACACAATCCTTGCAGTACACTCCGAGGGTGCATCTCGCAAGGATAAAGGTCGTAACAGTACGGAGTACGTGTTCCTCTAGCTCGTTTGAACTTCTTTGAACCGTGGCTACCCGGCGAGAGAGACCAGTGACACCGTGGGCGTCAGTTTTCGCGCGCTCGCGACGGCACGAGGGTAGCTTCACCCCCGTTGCTTTCTCCCCGTCGGCGGAAGAGCTTGCGCCAGTTTGGCTCGCGTCGCACAGAGAGACGCGCGCCGCGACGCGACGCGCCACGGAACGCTCCTCAGGCCAGGTGACCCTTTTCGTGGTGGCACGCGAGCACCCGGTGCCAGTTTCGTTCAACTGTTCGAAGAAGAATCATCTCCGTGGCTCGTGATGACCGATCGTCCGCTGCGAGCACGCAGTTGCCTCGCTTGACAATCGATTCGACGCGATCAATTTTCGCCGCGATCAATCGGGAACTACACAGTGCGCGGCGTTAAAAAAAATCCCTGAAATGATCGAACGAAACATGTGAAAGATCCTCTAATTAGCACCCTAACACTCTCGAAGTTGCCGCTTCTTCTTCAAGGATTATAAAGATACGTTCAATAATATCTGTTGAATTCCATTGGTACATGTGTAGTACTGATCGTGTATGACGCCGGAGAAGAAACAGTGCAATGAGGATTTTATGTGCTGCGTGACAGAGTCGAGATTAATGTTCATTTGGAGACTTGTGCTGGTCATGTCATCATCCCGTAGTGTTACTAGTTTCATTTCTTGAGGATTCTCGTCGAGTTTCGAGTGTCCAGGGAGCTGTTGATAACATGACTGAATGCTGATGTCCTTTGACGAATGCGGGACAGTAATGTTTCATTGAGGTTTCTTTTTTATATGGAGTACGTGTTGCCAGTTTGACGATGAATATTCGATTTCGAGTGAAGTGAAAGTCTTCTGGTGTTGATTGTTTAGTGTTTGACACAGTGGACCTTGGCGATTGTAAACGGAGGATTGTTCTGTCGGGAACTGTTGACTAAGGTCGACGGTTTGGAGAATTGGGCTGATGTGAAAACGGAGTTCGCTTTGTGCTCACGGGAAACAATTCTGGACTTGGTGACCAGGCAGTCGGGCATATTAATGCGCGGCTAAACAGTAATTGTCTGGAAGCCGCGACGATTGTTCCTAATTATTGACTGTGACCGCTTGGTTTCGCGACTGTCAGTCAAGTTCCAACGTTTTCCACGGAGATTACGGTGAGTCTCATTCCACCAGCTCGGAGCGACGCGGGCGAATTTTTATTCGATCTTCGAAATATTAGTTTCTCAGGAATCTTCGAATGTTAATAACGATATGTTTATTCATAGTACTGTGCTATTGAGGACAGTTGTAAAGTAGGATCGTAAATATCAATTGAAACGAACGTTGATGAAGTACGGAATGAAGATCGGCCATGTTGTATTTATAATTACTGAATGTCTTTCTTTTATGATTAAGCTTTGGAAATGTACAATGGAGGATATTTTTTGATGGAGCTGTAATAGTACTCATAAACGTTTCTTCACTTTTTTATCAGTAATTATTAATTGTTTACCAGCGTAACGCTAACTTGATTTTCTAATGATAGTGATCAAGATAGTCATTCTTTTGCGGATTTTATGCATCTACAAGTTCGAGTTTATTAAGCATGTTAAAATGTGTATTTATAGTTTAATAAAAATAATGTTCCTTACACGTAAAATAAAATAACATAAATTCACGGTGTAGAATACGCAATTAAAAAGAAATAAGAAGTTGTATTGATTTCGAAGTATTTTCCCTTTTTGCGAAATTGAAGCGGATTAGGAAGAAGAGAATGACTACATGAGAACACTGCCGAAGTATTTAACGAATATTAGGATTTAGAAAATCAATTGTTTTAAAAATTACAATTGTTTTATCCAATTCTTTTATCATCATTTTAGACGCATACAAATTTAAATCATAACGCATCGTAATCAACTTTTAATCAATCGTTCTCTGAATTGTTTTTCCTATGAACTTTAATCACATTTATTACGAAGCATTCTTTCTTTCGAACGCTATTCAAAGGAAAAGATAATTAAATGTCGTTTCACGTAAGTTATTGGATTAACAAATTCTGTTCCATTTCATTTTTGCTCAGAATGAATTGCGATTTTTATTGATGTTTATTGGGTTCTACTCTGTTCTGTTTGAACGTACATATAGATAATGAACGCATCAAATCCGTATTCATAACGCAAGCACGTGTATCCAAGGAATTCTCGAATACAATTTTTCTGAAAACAAAAGTTAATGCAAAAAACATTTAATTTACCTCGATTATGTTTTTATACATAAAATATGTTTCCTTATTACATTAATAAATAAGTGATAAATATTTTAACGATTTACTGACTGTATTATTATTTTTATTATTGTCTACATCTATATCATGTTATGTCAACAATATGAGACTGTTATTATCTAAACTTGATCCTCAGCTATGTATATTTCTTTTATTTTCAATGAAATTTTCTATGAGATTAGTTACAAACTGTATAACTTTAATTTTCTTCACCGCTCGCTATGTTGAAAAAAAGTTTGTCATTTTATTCTAAAAATTTCTTCATTTGTTTTTTTTCACGTAAAATAAAATAAAAAGAAAATATTATTTTGTCACATTGTCACGTTTTTTTCACGTAAAATAAAATAAAAAGAAAATACTATTTTGTCACATGCTATAAATGTTTGCATACAAAATGGTTTTGCAAAAAGTTTATATTCTTTCCCTCTCTGTTGCGTTAGAGTTTCCACTGTAAATATGGATTATACAAGCAATTTCCCATTCTCATTCTCGTCACATCTAACGACATACTCGTGCATTTCTCGTTCGGACATTTCTCTTTATATTGTTACTGTGGTAAAGCGTTATACGAGTGAAATTCAAAATTCGACGGCAAAGTCAACACTTTTACGCAATGGTAAATAACATACAAAAGATGGAACGTATTTTCAATTCTGGGTGATGTTTGCTGATTTTATGATCCTGTTGAAACGAAATATTCAAATTTAGAATGAAAGTACGCATTCGCCAATGTTTACATTTTAAAATACGTATACTTTCTTCTTCAAGTGTTTCATTTTAGTGTCTTGTCTAAGTTTAACCGTTTGTCGTACAACACCATGTCAGACTCGAGAGGACGATCTCAAACTGAAATTAACAAGAATAAATAAATTTGAATTTTCGTGAGTCTGAATTAAATATTATATTTCCATTATCAACTTGTATATTTTGAAGTAAACGTGGGTATAGATGAATATGGAGTTCTCCTTTGTTTCTAGTAAACTACTAATAACAAAGTATTTCTTTCTGGTGTAGTTGTACAATAAATCATAAGTTAACACATTGCGTACCGCCTAATTTTCAGGAAACTGAATTTTGATGGCAATTTTCACTGTCAACTTATATCACTATACATAGAAAAACTCAGATGTCATATTGTTATGTAATATATTCTAAACAGATAATCAATTCGAATTAAATTTTATATTTCTTTCAATGCTGCGGTATTTAGCGAAGTTGCATAGCTAAGTGTCTTTATATAAAAACGAGATTTCTCGTTACCGGTACGCAATGTGTTAAAGGATTAATGCGTGCGATTGGATTTCATTTGTATTTGTAATTATTACTGATTGCATACAAAAAAAATGACAAACGTACATTTGAAAACTTTCATTTGTGATTGAGTTATGTTCATAAAATCGAAAAATCGTTTATGTGGACGGATTTGTTATTATTCTTAGATTGGTTTGGATTTTCGGCGTTCTATTATACATAGAAATATAGTTTAATATTAGAATTAGCAGACCAGTCAAAATGACACGTTTCAGTTTTCTTATTTCGCGATTATTAATCGAATACTATAATGAATGTAAGAAACTGGGAAGAATGTATTGTTACAATTTTCATTGGGTTAGATATTAATCATATTACACACTCAGCAGATCTATATATTTTTAACACTAAAACTACTTTAGATTAAGATGGCCCATTCCTGATATCTTCTTTTTACAATTATTAACTGTTTGAGTGTCAAGCAGCGCGATCGCACTTCTACGTTACACTGTCTAAAAGTGCCAGTCTATCGGTTAGATGAATTAAATTAAATTTATTTACTTATTTTCCTTCTACTTAATTATTTTTATTTATATTATTATCAACTAGGAAATAAAAAAACGAAACGTTCGCACTATTTAGAATTTTTTTGGGTAAGAATACAAAACCGTAATTCAGTTTCTGAATTGAAACCAAAGAAGCGCGATCACGCCGCTTAGCACTTTTTGACCGGGTTTCTGCAAGAACCCGTGGCACTCAAACGATTAAAAATATAACAGAAGTTGCTCTGAAAAATGATTAAAGAAAGTTAGCAATGCGAAAACTGAATAGTAAATCAATTAAAGTTTCAATAGATGCACTCTTGGAGTTTCTATAAAGGAATTTCAAAAATTCAATTGAACTACTTAGCAGTTTTAGTGTTAAGAACCAGCATCCCCCTATTTGTATTGTTGCTAATGTCCATATTTATGAAATTTTGATTATTTATACATATAATATGAAAGCTAGGTATCACTAACAAAATTTTCTCTCTTAAACTCTATAAGTTTTATTTCTAATTTTTGTTCATATTATCAGAAACAGCGGAAATATTTTTGCGATCAAAGTAAATAGAACAAACTGCAGTTCCATGTTAAATACTTTAAATGACAAGAACGGTAATTTGGATCCAGTAGTAAAGTTTCGTAGCAGAATACTGACAGTGACATAAAATAAACTTTGATTCAATTAGTAGATTTAAATGTAGAACACTGAAAATAACGTTATAAAATAGTATTTAAATTGATTTTTTTTCAATTATTATTATTTTCTATTGTAACACAATAGGAAAAACACAAGTTCTGCATAAAATGTACAGTACCAAACTATTTAAAATTCATTTCAGGTTATCATAAAGGATGTGTTTATTTTATATAACAAGTACTTAACATATAATATTTTAAGTTGGATATTTACTTATAGATGCTATCCATAATAAATGATTAATATAGTAAGTATATTATTTATTTCGCGTTTCAAATTTTCTTCTTTCGGTTCTAACTTTATTATAGACCAATTATTGTTTGTTCTCTAATTTCATTTTTAATAATATTATTAACTAAAAAAGTTGGCACGAAAAGTAAGTCTGTGAAATTTTCTTTTGTATATATTTTTCTTTTCTTCCGGTATATTTCATTAAGTTTAATTTAAAAGAACGCACATCGATCATTGCATGTTCGCAATCTGACATTACATATGTGTCACACGTGTTATATACAGTTAGATACGTGTCACGCTGTTGATTACCGTTGCTATGATATTAACCTCTGGTCCTATGATTTATTTCTTAAGTATAATTGACACAACTACTTTATTGATCATAGTTTATTAGGAAAAGAAAAAATGTTGATACTTATTTTATGTTTACGTTTGCTTCAACTCTTAACGATCGACGATAGAGAAGCAATATTTAATTTATATTTAAAGAACATAAATAACATTTAGATTTCTCAAATTCAGTTTAAAATTTTCTGTGCGAATGCGACACGATATTGTAGGTCAAAGGGTTAACTGTTAACTCTTTGACATATATTTGGCGAATGGCATATCCTATTGTCGCTTTGGTAATATAAAAATATCATACATATACTGCTGGTCGAAAGTTTGAAATCACTTGACATGTAACGTTACAAATTAAAAATTATATGTCTTATTAATATATAAAATTAAATGAGAAACATTATATATCTTTATATTTTACTAATCACATATGTACATATTCCTTTATCATACACAAAAATTCGCCATAAATGTTGTTTACAAAAAATGCAAGGTTCTCATTTATCCGACGTATTGGTTTCAAGCTTTCGACCGACAGTGTATATGACATTTATGTAAAATGCTTCGTTTGGTTTATTCACTATGTCTTAAATGTGAAAAAATTACATGAGTAATATATTACGCGAAACAATTGCAAGGAAGGAATGGTCCACAATAAGAGTATTTAAAATTTCATCGTGATCGCGAATGTAACACTAAAATATCGAGCAGTTAAATTGACTTTTTGAAATTCCTCTATAGAAACTCCAATAATGCATCTATTGAGACTTTAATTTATTTACAGTTCAGTTTGCGTATTGCTAAATCTATTTCTTTAAT